CGAAATTACGTATATATTTTTACGGGCATACAAAATATTTGAGTAAATGTACTGTGATGCCACAGTCATGATACCAGTCACCTTAAACTTTTCTCTGAGAGAAATCCGAGAACCTAAACGGTAAACAGAAAGAATGTCTCGTATTTGCAACACAAATATGGTTTGTATATCTGCCGCTTTAACCCACATTAACTAGTCTGGCAATAGCAACATCGTAAGCTTACGTATTCTACGGACTGCGTATGCAGAGCTTAATCCCCTGGCCAAGGATATGTGGAAACCATTGGAGTTTACTATCTAAGGTCACTCCCAAAAAGAGTTTTATTAACAAGGTCTAACTTTTCTCCATGGCATTGCACCAAGTGACGATATCCGTTTTTTGAGCCTCGGTCAAATTGTGTGGGATCCACTGTATTCTACAGCCAAAGAGTTTCATTTTCAAATGTTGTAACTACGTTTTAAATATTGTTTATGTAAGTGGCCAGTTCCTGGGAGAAGGGAACTTATAGTGGTGCGCCCTATGTATTATTAATGTCAGTCGCAATATTGTGGGATACAGTCGCGGGCATTGAAATGTAAATATTAGATATTTCAAAAAATGTATCTTGCGCTGTTTTCAAAAATATGTAATCACGACACCATTTTAAAAAAGGTATACTTTTATTTCAGAGAAAAATATACAAACTACAGTCAATGAAATATATATAATCCTGGTGTCATACATGTATCCATACCATTTTCGTAAATATTTACTTACACAATGCATATTATATATTTATAATTGCATTAAATGTACACGATTAGGATTGTGATTTTATCATAATTATGTAACCACTTTTAAAACATTGCATCGTTTTCAAAAATATATATACACAACCTTAGAATAATAACGCATAGAAGCCTATTCCGCACACGCTAAGTGAGGCAAATTGAAGCGCGCCCAATGGGCCTACACGAGCGGGCGGGCCTTCAGTGCTCAAGGTCAACTTGCACCGCGAACAGCTCAAGAATTTTAGCTAGAAATAACGAAATGTGCGGTAAATGAGTGTAAAGATACGTCAATCAAACATAAATAGAAAAAAAACAGACTAACATCACATTCCACAAGGAAGTAACGCGTTTCAACATTGACGTACAATTATATGGACGTCGGGTCCGCGCTAAAAAGTGTCCGCACTTGTAAGGCGCTAAAATCGTATACAGAGCGCGACACTCCGCTTTAGTCTTCATTTGTTCTACTGACAGCGCGATACTGCGATGACATTACAATTTAAATTTCGAATAGGTTGACTTGGGACATTTTTTTCGTGGTTTTTGTATTATACCCGTCGTCCATTTATTTGTAAGTCAATGCGTTTCAACTTGTATTTTTATATAAATATTCACTAAAACCGAAAATTAACCTACTACTAAAACTAGCCTATATGAATTTGATTTTTGCCTCACTTGTGACAGTTCGTTTGATATGAAAATATCATTCTATGCGCTATTATTCTAAGTACACAACATAGTTGCAATATAATGTAAATATACCAGCGCCAGTAAACTTTTTGTGTGTATTTTGCTAGTTCGTAATATTAATTATTTGCCCTGAGATAAAAGATTATAAAAAAAGCTCTTTTCGAAAAAGTTATTTTTATATTTATTTATTATTTATTTATCTATTTTATCCTAGAGGGTACAAACCGCTTATATTACAACATGATTATTTCTTCTTACAGTATCCATAGATTTAGTATATGACAGTATCTTCATCTGATTCTTCCGTTAACATATTTAATAATAAGAATTTGCGCGACTTGGTACTTTAGCCGCAGTTTATAGCTAGATGAATAGGACAGTACTGTGTCGTCACCATCCACAACTATAGCGCGAGATCGCGAGAGCTCGCACGAGCTCGCGCGAGGTCGGCGAGGTTTCAATTCTCGCATCGCCTCGTCTCGTCTCTCCTCGCCAGTGGAAAAGCACTTTAAGCGCCCAGTTACACGAGGAGGAAGATTTCGCGCGGCCGCCGCGTGGCTACCGCCCAGTTACCACGCCTTCATGTACATTAATGGTGAATTTGAATTCTATTTGCTAGGCAACATTTTAATTCTACTGAATAATATAAACCGGCGACCGCCGCGTAGACCAAATTCAAACCGGACTCGCCCGCGTGCTCTGGACGTTTATTAGAGTTAAAATGTAAAAACTATATAAATAGAGCTTATTTTGCCATGACAGTTAGACGCATGCGGTCGTAGCTTGACGTCACCTGTGCGGGATGAAATACGTGTCAAATAAATGCGCCCTAATTGTGTGTTTATAAGAGACATAAAAAAGTGAGAATAGAATGTGTAACCTCTATTTATTCAATCTATATCCGCTCACGCGATTCATGCGTCTCTGGAAGCATACCACACCTAGAGGTGCCGGTGATGATTTTATACCGATTTATCGGATATCGAAGTTATAACAGGTAAAAGAACTAATACTAATTGCTATTTCGGTATTGCATTGCATTTTATTTGAGATGTCTTTGTTGTAGTACGGAGTGTATTTATTTAGCAATGCAGAGTAATAATTTTTATTTTTAATAACTTGTATTTAAACTGAATCCTTTTCTAATTTGCGAAACCAAATAGCCGCCATTTTGCGGTAGGAGGAGAGCATCCCGTGAGCGGCTAAGATTGAAGTAAAACCGCAAATCGCACCCCTCATCTTAGACTATTTTTTTCCATCCTCCTAAGCCCCTCATGAACGAATGGCATAAGTGAAGTTACGTCAAAAATGTTTATTACTCCATTGCCATCCATCTATCGACAATATTAATCGACAGGGTTACAAGAATTGGGGACTATGTAGGTTATATGTACTGCATAATCGTTTAAATGCTTAGAGTATAGCGTATATGATAATTTTTATAGCTACAACCCTTGTTTTCATAAACAAATAAATTACGAATTAATAGTTAATTATAAACATACAAAAAGTAGTCATTACTCAGCACATTGTAATTTTTTTATCTGTATATAAAAGCCCTTGTCTACTAACAGTATTTAAGCTGTTATGAATGATAACTTTAATGGAAAATACAGCAATAAAAATATGTTTTGATATTACTAATGCTCGTGGCACGCGGGTATTTTTGTAATGCACGAAGTTTATGTGAAACCTGACACAAACCTGTAACGCGCGGCGGCCTCGTGTCGACCGCGCGTTTCGGTGTGGTTTCATATAACGTCTTCTAATCCTGATATTTTACCATACAATGACTCGCGGTAGCGGCTGCGTCCGCGGGGGTGCAACCGCCCGGGACGGGGTCACCCGCGCGCTTGGCGGTCGACGCCTGCGCCTCAATCGATCGTAAATAAACACTTGCGACTTGCGATCATTTTCCACCAAACATGCGGGCTGTTCCGCAACCGCGGCGGCTACGTGACCGCACAAACCTGCGGTGTCGTGAGTATTGAAATAAAACGGCTGTCCCGTAGCCGCGGCGGGCGTGGGTAGAAACCGCTCCATGAGTTCTTAGCCTAATAGTATAGTTGGCCAATACATTCTACTTTTTCTCTAATACCAATTTGATGTCAAAAATATTATTTGACAACGTCGATCTGAAAATTTGAAAGAAGTATGACATTGAATAAAAAATGAAAAATTAAATAAACGTGTAATATTAGATAAAAAATGTAGAAGAAAACGACAAAAAAATTGGAAAAAATACAACATGGCGTAAGTTTTCTTTTTGTTTTTCAATTATAAGCTATGTAGTCTAGGCCAGCAACATCGATTCCTTTCACAGCTGACGCGAAATTAAACTTTAATGGCGTATTTAAGTTTAAGGCATGCCAGTGAGACGGCAGGCAGTGGTATATCGTGTGCCAGAACCCCTGGTGCCGGAACGCAGTGTCCTGGCATGCCAGTTACGGATAAAACTTAGCCGACTTAAGTTTTTAACTTTTAAACGATCGAAAATTAATCCTAGTGCTGAACATTGAACAAAGAATCATTTATTCCATAGGTAAAACAGATTTACATTTAATTTCATAAATGTCATTTTTGAAGCTACTGCTGTACTGACTTACCTGAGAAGAACGAGCAAGAAAGACAGGGGGTTGCTCTTTTCAAATTAACTTAAATGCTATGGCTATATGAGTCAAATTTGTGTGTCAAATCTACACCCATGTCGTCTTTCGATACATCTTTATCTAACATTGTAGTCTTCAATTTAGTAATGTAACTTTTTAATGAAAATATGATACTTTTAATGTAAGTTTTAAACTTAGGAAATGATATTAATATGTATATATTATATCCGCAATGTTATTGTAAAGACGTATACCTTAATTCAACGAAGGAAATCGATTCTTTTGTGAGAAACTGTATACGTTTTTACAGTAAGATTCCGAATTGAATTTAAACGTAGCTTAAAGCTTATGCACACAGCGTATTTTACAAGTGCCGACGAATAAACGCGCGTCAACTGCGCTTATACGCGTATAGTAAATCGATTCGAACGCGCGCAAACATCGCGGAAAGGAAATGACGCGTAATGGGGTAATCATATCTATCTACTACGGTCGTCAGGATGTAATTAACGTTGGCCCGCAATCTGCAGAGCAACGACGTTGTCTTTTTGCGCTTGATGGCGTAATAGTCATGAGTACGCGCCTGCGCAAACATTCCCGAGACGCTGCAGAAGCGAGGCAGCCCCATCAACATCCTGAAGCCGTTATTATATTGGACACAAAAGGTGCTAATGGCCTTCTGAGTAAAGTTGGACCATAGGCTGCACGTATAGTACATGTGTAGTGTACTATATACCTACTCCACTGGAGTTTACACTTAGAAGTTCATCTAGTTGCTTCATTTAAAAAAAAAACTGAAATTAACAAACAAAACTAAAATTAAAACGCGCGTTTACGGCGCGTCATCGGCGCGTACAAAATACGCCGTGTGGATAGGGTCTTAATAATAAACATCTTATTGATTGTACATGTAATTATTTATGTGTGCAGTTGCGAGGTGTGCCAGCACTGTCATGAACCCGTAAGCCGACACGATAGCATTATCCGCGAGGGTTACAACTACCACGACAAGTGTCATAAATGCTGTAAGTTTCAGGCATTCATGTATTGCAAAAAAGATAGATAAAAAAACAAAACAAATAATAACATCTGAGGCATTCATGTATTGAAATTGCAGAAAAGGAAAAAGAATGAAAAAAAATAATAACTAAGGAATTCATGTATTGCATTTGCAAAGAATAAAACGATTACTTTATCAGCCGTTCATGTATTGAGATTGTAGAAAAAAAAGAATAAAACAAATAATAACATCTGAGGCATTTATGTATTAAAATTGCAGAAAAGGAAATATAATAAAACAAATAATAATAACTAAAGAATTCATGTATTGCATTTGCAAAGAATAAAACGATTACTTTATCTTTTTTTTTTAAATTATTTGTTGCATGACCTGGATACAAAGTCCTTCAGTCGATTACTTCATCCGACTTTCTTATATTGCAATCGCAGAAAAGAAAAATGAATAAAACATATAATAATATCTCTAATTTGACGACATCCGTGGTCAAATGGCTTGTAGATCAGTTTTCACAGTGTCGCCGCCTCTGAGGTCCCGGGTTCGTTCCCTGACCGGGTCAATTAGAGTAAACTAACTTTTAACAGTATTGTTTTGGGTCTGGGTGTTTGTAGTACCGTCGTTATTTCCAATTTCCATATCTCTAGTGCTTTCGTGCTTACTTTGGAATGAGAGCAACGTATGTAATATCGTGTAATAATAAATATTTATTTAGAATTACCCCTTTTAAGGCATTCATGTATTGCAATTGCAGAAAATCAGAGAAACAACCTATGTGATTTTGGAATGTCGCTCCGGTACTATTTGACGACTGATCACTGTGATTTTTTAATAGTGACGTTATTTACCACCCACCTCTAAGCGCTACGGTAGCGTGGCAACACCAACGGGATTCTGAAAGCGTCATTATACTGACGCATAGAGCGCGATACGCTTTCTATGTATACTTACTTATTTGACTCGACCCACAAGCTGCACATGTAAAAAGATTGGGAACACGGGGTGTCGACCCTGGCGTAGAACGTACCGTGGCATGTGACAAAAGCACTTCTGACAGGGATAATATTATTTGATTCTCAACATTGACTTACAAATAAATGGACGACGGGTCTAATACAAAAACCACGAAAAAAATGTCCCAAGTCAACCTATTCGAAATTTAAATTGTAATGTCATCGCAGTATCGCGCTGTTAGTCGAACAAATGAAGACTAAAGCGGAGTTTGACGCTCTGTATACGATTTTAGCGCCTTACAAGTGCGGACACTTTTTAGCGCGGACCCGACGTCCATATAATTGTAAGTCAATGATTCTCAAAGATATAATTTCATTGATCTATTGTAAATGTGCAATTTTTGAAATGAACGATTATATAATTTTTTTATAATTTGATTATATAATTATCAAATCTATATTACTTGATCTACGGATAAATTATAAACGAACTGTATTTCTGTTTAAACCCTTGAGTTCAAATACCAGAAATAAAGACGGAAAGAAATAAAGGGCCATCCATCCCTGGCGACTCATCAATCAAATGGTACTGTTATCACTTTTAAATATCAACCCTCGTTTGCACTGAAATCTCAGATTAGAAAGCTGAAATAGTACAGCGCCAACAACTGACCCGTGTGTACGTCTCCGTATATTCCTATTACTATGGGGGGCTGTTCCATTCGGTGGTATGGGAAAACGGCCAAACATCTAATTACAAAACAAACAAAATCACATTTCATCGGTAATTAAATATTAAATTATGTAACTTTTAAAGTCTCGTCCATTATAGCAAAGCTCAAGTTAAACTGGTTAAACGATTTGAATTGAAACAATTGACGACACCCGTCAATTCGAATTCGGGCTGGCCAATCGGAGCGCAGTTTTCACCGTAATGATAGGGCAGAATGGTTTTCAAACAAATTAAATTTCGTCTCTATTTCTGGTTATAAAACCGATGTATATACTCGATGGTTTAAACATACTAAATTAATATTTGGTATATACATTTATAACCAGTATACCTTTTGATATTGATCTCCTAATTAGTCTTGGTTGCTCGGTTGCGCCCTCCATTAAGTAGGTTAGGTTTAATATATGAAAAGGCCAGAAGAAGTATTTCATTTTATTTAACTTATAAACACATGCTTAGTTTTTAAAATAAGTATCTAAATTTTATTCTTAATGCGCATTTGTCTTAGTTTTGCGGCCCAACGCAATACTATCAAAGTTAATTTATACAAATCAAACATTTTTGCGCAGCTTTGTATATATTAAAATATCCATTGATTTAATTTATTTTTCACTTAACTAACTCGGCAAGACTTTCTTTCTCATTAGAAATCCGCGCGCAAAAACGTTCTGATTTTTGAGGTTTTTGAAATTTGAACTTCACGATGGACTGTGGTGCATCTAACTTTTTCTTTCGATGAAAAAAAAACATAATGACATGTTCAACTTCGCGGTTTGTCGTACATTAATTATGTAATATAACAAATCAGTTTTAATAAACAAAATTAGTTATTGTTGTCAATTTAATGTCAACAATAATAAGAATCAAACGTACCAACGGATTTATATTACATGATTAATGTACGACAAATCGCGTGGTTGAACCTAACTCCTTCGGTTGCTCATGTTTCAATACAAGCACCCGCGTCAAACGATGACTTTGCAGCCTCGCATAACAAATAACTATTATAATTATTAATACAAAGATCGAACATTCAGAAAAAACACTCAGAAAAAATTCCTTCGATCCGGTCGGATTCGAACCGACGTCTTGCATACCGTGCCAGACGCTATACCAACTAAGCCACGGGACGAACCTTTCGATCTTTGTATTAATAATTATAACAAACTAGTGGAGTAATTTCACAAAAAATAATTGAATATCAATTCAATAAAAATTTAATTAATACAGTGAATAGCGACATCTCTCGCCAGGACAGGTAGCTGTAAAGGTACTACCTGGGTGATAAATCTGTAATAGATTTCTCATAGATGGCGCTACGACTAAAAAGTCGTTGAAAGACCAAGTACAAAGACACGACGCAAGCACATAGAAAAATTCGTGAGGTCCGTTGGTTCGTTCCGTGGCTTAGTTGGTATAGCATCTGGCACGGTATGCAAGAAGATGTCGGTTCGAATCCGACCGGATCGAAGGAATTTTTTCTGAGTGTTTTTTCTGAATGTTCGATCTTTGTATTAATAATTATAACAAACTAGTGGAGTAATTTCACAAAAAATAATTGAATTTCAATTCAATAAAAATTTAATAAATAACTATTACGTCTCAGAGAAAGAGGATCAATCATTAAAAAAGATGACCGTTTTGATTTTTTTACCTACTGCTTTTGCAAATTTAAAATGATCATTTAAATCATTGACTTACAAATAAATGGACGACGGGTCTAATACAAAAACCACGAAAAAAATGTCCCAAGTCAACCTATTTAAACGTAGTGGCATGTAAAGGAATATGATAAAGCTAAAACGTTGAATTTAAATTGTAATGTCATCGCAGTACTGTCTAATTCTGCTTGCTTCGCTGTCAGTCGAACAAACGAAGACTAAAGCGTGAATGACGCTCTGTATACGATTTTAACGGCCTATAAGTTCGGACAATTTTTAGCGCGGACCCGACGTCCATATAATCGTAAGTCAGTGATTTATATACATGCACTTCTGACATATGTACACACGATATTTTTCAGTGTATTTACTACTTGTATAATTACAGACGTGTGTAGTGAGACTAATCTGCTAGGTGCGGAAGTTTTCAAAGGAGTGATATTCTGTAACAGCTGTTCCAAGCGCATATTTCAAGGTTGCTCCACTGTCCGACAGTCCAAGAACCAACAGCGGCCCGATAAAACCCGACACAGGTCCTATCTAAGGCCTCATAAAATAAGGTATTTTTAATCTAGAATCTCGCATAAAGCCTTCAGACTCACAGCGACAAGTTTGTGCGAGAGGGCTCATCGAGATTTGGGCCAAGAAGTTTGCGATATCTTTAATTACTATTAAATACTCTGTTACAGACCTTCCGCTTCGGAATTCTCTTATGTGTTTTTTGTTATAGATATTATATAACAGTTGCTGTGCCACTCAGAGCTTTAAATCGCAAAGATGATGCCCGTCACCCCGAGACATAAGTTGACAAGTCCCATGTGCCTGTAATTTGTAAACAGTAATACTGATATTACTGCTTGGCGGCAGAAGTAGATAAGGTGGCAGTACTTCTCTGGACGAACTCTTTCACAAGGATTTCTACAGCTACTGCAGAAGATGGAGTGACTAGTTGGATCTGAAAGTTGCTGCCTCTCCTCGGCTTGCCGCTACCTAGGGAGCGAACTAGTTTATCCAATCGCACATATAAATATGATATTTCGTTTCAGAAATCACTATAAGCTTCGTGATGGCTATAAATATCTCGATAAAAGATCAGACCGGCCAAATTCTAAAGACAAAGCAGTGTTGGAATATGTAAAGTGTGAAACATCTACGAACTCACAACTCAAAAGGAATGCCAGGTATGACAGCATAAAGGATCACTCTCGGGTTATTCGGGTAGTACGGGTTTTTTTGGCACATACATTAGATATAGTACTTGATTAGATTATAGAATGTTTGTCCTGCAGAAAAACCCACACAGCTCTATACGTTTTTCTTTATATGGAAGGAGGGCACGAATGATTTTTATTAATACAAAATCTTCTGTGGACAACGGTTTATTGATATCTTTAATGGAACAATGGCTGGTTTTTTTTTTTTCATCATTTCTCAAATTTTCGTACGTATTTTCAAATATGTTTGTACGCAAGGCTTCTTGATTCATTGAATGAACCCATTACCTTCTGTTCTTCCGGCGGCAAAGCCGTTGACGTCTTCTATGCCAATATAAAAGTGCAACAAAGCGTAGACACATCACAGACGTATTCTAAAGGCGATTGCTGTGTGAATACTGCAGCTATTTGTCGTTTACACGCTTGAAAATATAACGTGTGAAGACCCTGTCTATCCGTTTATAATCGAATGCGTTAGCGTGCAGGGCAATACCGTGTGAACCAAGGCTTAGTGTTCACTGCTGGATTTTCAATTGTGTTATGACGACCTCCGTGGCCTAACACATTGTAATATGGGCGCTGGATGCGAAGGTCATAGGTTCGATTCTCGATAGGACCAAATTAAAATTCAGACTCCGGTATTAAATTCCTTTAGCGCAGTAAGCAGCCATCTCCTGCCTTTTGCTGGACACAGCTGGTCGGAAATAGTAGGCAAGAGAGAGAATCAAGAGAAAAGTAAAGAATACTTGAAAAAATTCCTACTAAGCCATGGAAAGAACCAGCGGAACTTAAGAGTTTATCTATGTGCTTGTTGCAGGTCTACGTTTTTTATTTTTAAATTCCAAGTTACGTTCATTTCTCAATAATAACAACTTTATTCACTCACACTCAAACGCTATGGTAAAATAATACATCATTAGTAAAAAAAAAACACTTAGAAATCTTTGGTGAGTCTGATGTTCTTACTAGGATTCCCTGTATGACGGTTTACCAGACCCTCGCTTCCACAGTTGGACTTCACAAACATAAAAAAAAGATGAACACTGTGAGTCAGTTATAGTAAATTAAAAAGCAAAAGTAGCGTGTGTGTGTTTTTATTGAATGTGCGTGTGTTTGTGTATGTGTGTCAATGTTTAGAAGCTATAACCCTGGCTAAAGTTGAATGGAGATATAGTGATGAATCTGTATGTGAAAGACTTTCCAAAGCCTTTGGAAAACGTTCACAACCTTTGGAAAACGTGTGAAGACCAACAACCACTGGGCAAGCGTGGCGGCCTAAAGCCAAAACCCCCTCCTCGAGTGTCGAGCTCGACAGAGGGGCGTACAGTACATTGATAATAATGACGACAAACTTTCCTTTTACAGCAAAGGAGTAAATGTTCCATCACCAAACATAAGCACGTTAGAAGTAAAACACTATATTAAAGAAGGAGAACTTGATAGAGTAGGAGATACAAAGACCTTAAAGGTGAATTCATAACTTTCACATTGTATGGGCTTTGACGTCTTGATTGTAGGTAGTTAAGTTAGTTGTAGTTTGTAGTTAGTTAAGTTATAGAGTTGACGTACAATCGTAAAGTTTATTTTTGTTTAAATACAAGTTATTATATGGATGCTTATGTGACCGATTGCGACAGAGTTATTAAATCAACTAAATTATAATAAAAAGTGAATTAGTCGATTCACGTAAAGTAGGGCGCAAACTCAGCGTGTAAATCTTGTACGTGACCCGTACACACATTTTAGTAGCCGTAGAGGTCCTTGTGAGAGACATCGTCCAAAGAACTACTGCCACCTTACCTATTTCTGCCGCCATGCAGTAACGTGAGCATTACTACGATCCAACGTCGATCTGTTTTTTACCGACTTAAAAAAGTTCTCAATTCGAGTGTGTCTTTTTCGTACGTATGTTATGCGATATAGTTATTTTTAATACAGTTGCTCAAAACGTGGTATTTTTCGCACTAGTGCTTTTTACTTTTCCAGTTTTTTTTTAATTTACTGTTGTTTTAAGTCTTAAACATAGAACTAAAGAGATTGTATATTTATTTCATATTTATGTGCTTTGTGACGTAAGTCATTCGTCATTACTATACTATATCTATGGAGAGACTGCATTTTTACACCTATGAAGTAAATGCTCCTTAGTAGCGATTATGTAGAAAATAAAGTAATATAAAATAGTAATTTTAATGTGGCTGAATACTGGCAACAGTTGCCATATTGAAAAAAGTCGGCCAAAAAAACCTACCTACCTACTAATTTTTTTCATCGTTTACATTCCCGCCTTTTTCATTAACTTTTTTACGATTTGATTTTGTTATTGACAAAGGAATAAAATGAGGTTTTTTTTAAATACTGTTTTATTTTACTTTCAATGTAGGTTTTTCGCAAATGTATTAAAAAACGTTGTTTGATACACATGCGGATTTGTCATTTTCACTTGTCTCGAGTCTTGACACTCGCCTCTAGCTCGGGCCAAGATGCCTCGAGACTCGTGAATAATGACTAACTTCCGCACTTGTATCAAAATACTTATTTTTATGAAATAAATATACAATCTCTTTAGTTCTATGTTTAAGACTTAAAACAACAGTAAATTTAAAAAAAAATTGGAAAAGTAAAAAGCACTAGTGCGAGAAATCCAACTTTCCGCACGATTTGTAGTGCGAAAAATACCACGTTTTGAGCAACTGTATTAAAAACTCATTTATGAACCGATTTTGATGATTATGTTTTGTTATAAAGAGGGTACTCGGTAGTGGTCCCATTTAAATTTGAAGAAAATATTCCACCTCTAAGAGTGACAAAGTAGGGGATGAATCCGGTTTCTCGCACTATCCGGTAAACGGTTTCAATAAAACTTGGCAAATAGATGTATTTTAACGAACTATTGAGGTTGGTTTTTTTTTTGGTACTCTGTGCTGTGATTATTCGTTTCAATTACAAATATATATAATATAAATATTTTTGGTAGCAGTAGTGCTCCTTGTGAAAGCCTTTTTTGGTGTAGTTGTAATTCAGATGTGCCCTTATTACACCATGGGTGCGAATTAAAATAATTACAGGTAATAAAATGTGATGCCTATGTTTGTTACAGAAAAAATCTACACAGAAAATCGTACATGAAATAAAAAAAATAAGTGTCGGTTAGTGGTTGTACCAATATTCATTATTTCTGTTCATCTATTTTTATTTCTTACGTTTATTACAAAATAACAGGAAAGTGCAAATCTACGCATGTAGTATTGGCATCGAGTATATAACCAGAAATAGAAACGAAACGTCGTTTAATTTGTTTGAAAACTATTCTGCTAAATCATTACTGTGACAACTGCGCTCCGATTGGCCAGCCAGAATTCGAAACAATTGACGGGTGTCGTCAATTGTTTTACTTCAATTCGACCAGTTTAACTTGAGCTTTGCTATAATGGACGAAAATTGCAAAATTACATATTTAATGTTTAATTACCGAAGAAATGAGATTCCGTTTGTTTTGCAATTAGATGTTTTGCTGTTTTTCCCACACTGCCGAAAGGAATGGCCCCCATTGTTAGAGATATTATCTTTATTACAATAAATACAGGATATATTTGGAATATACGGAGACGTACACACAGGTCGGTTATTGGCGCTGTACTATTTCAGTTTTCTAATTTGTGATTTCATCGCAAATGAGAGTCGATATTTAAAAGTGATATAAGGCCCATTTACCTAATGAGTTGCCAGGGATGGATGTCTCTATTTCTGGTTATATACTTGATAAGTATTGGTAGAAAGGCGAGTTTCGAAACTGATGATGAAGTCCATGATGGCACAGCATGCCCAACTAAATAGTAATAATTTTTTTGACGGCTTCCGTGGTCGAGTGGCTTGCACACCGGTTTTCATAGTGTCGCCATCTCTGAGGTCCCGGGTTCGATCCCCGGCCGGATCAGTATAGAAAACTAACTTTACTATATTGTCTTGGATCTGGGTGTTTGTGGTGTTCGTTACGTGTGAGTTGTCCATAAAAACGACTACACAAAAAAAAATCTTTATTATGCACGACAATGATCCATGAAGTATTAAGAACAATAAACTATATTTAGTTAGTAACAATAAACGAAACAGAGCGCTTGCTGGAAGTTGTCTCACAATTATTTTTATTTAACCATTAATTTATAACTCACTTATTGTTAAACGTAGAAAATCTGACTTAAACTGTAATATAAAAAAAAAATATCCAAAATAATGCCTACAAAGCAGGTACACATTTACTTGGTTTAGGCATCGCAATTACACATTAGATTCTAATATTAAAATGTATAATAGCTTTACTATGAAAATTGTAGCTTTGTTTACATTTGTTTTCTTTGTATATTATATTAGATTAAGTTTTATATATAAATTTATCTTTATCTTTAATTAGGTTAGTACTTAAATTCTACTACTTAAATTCTATTTTGTACTTATCATTAAATGCTGCATCATGGGGCACTCAGTTTAATAAAGACGACGACTTCTTCCGTAAGAATACCATGAAGCTGTCGACGCGAGCTTCAGTAAACATGTCGGACGCCCTGCAGAACCGTGGCAGCCGCAGCAGCGTTCTGAAGGCGTTGTTAGGCGATTGTCAGATTGCCCCGCACCATACGCGGTGTGCGGAGCTGCAGAAGTATCTTAGTTTGTATAGAAAATACGTACTTATTCGCACTATCATTTTTTTCTCTACTACCGTGCAGAAGGACATCTTCACGGTACAGTCGTAATGAATCTGGAGGTCGACAAATTTATATTTCAAATTGAAAATCGCCCAGCAATTTGGAACATGAACTGTGAAGAATACAGTAGCCGCGTCCAAATAAAAATAATAATAACGCACATACTCAACATATCTCTGCACTAGGGAAACCCTGTGTCGCGGGTAACATGGACACACACATAGACAACCACAAATTACACCCAAACTCACGAGAGAAATAAATGTAGGCCATACAAATATTTCTCCCAGCCCGAGAATCGAACTTGGGACCTCTGCGTGGCAGTCCGGAATGGTAGCCGTCCGGCCCCACGGAGGCAGTTATAAAAAATAAGGCAATGGGAACAGGTGGCAATTATATTTACGAAAGATAATACTTCGCACGGGGTGGTTTTATTTGTGTATACGAGTACAAGAACCAAATGGTAAAACTCCAGCGTCCTGAATGAGTTCTGTATTATTATCCATTTTTGTCAAAGAAGGATTTCAGCTATCTCTCTCGTGACCAACTGCGAAGTCAGCTTTATGTAGCGCGGAGCCACAGTACCGCCGCCCCCGCGCGGAGCAAACCGCATGTTGACGCAGATGTGCATCTCCGTCACCGCACGCGTGATACCTCGTCCCGCACTCAGCTGCCTGGTGGTGGCAGTGTGATAATCGCCTTACATTAGGGCCCTGAGCGAGCTTTGGGTGTAGCTGGCCCACAGGACACATGCATACAGTGACATGTAACAGGCTCCGGAGGGAGTGACCTTCACCTCCAAATCGAGCAAACTTGCGAGCCAATATGTTCGCCCGCACCGACAGTGTCCTGTGCTCACGTTCTATGTCCATATTGTCCTTGAGGTCGTCGGTAATATATATTTAGAACATGATACTCTTCAATGGAGTTCCATTGATTATTATAGGAAGCACATTTTCAAGACTGTTTTTACCGGCAACCCCAAAGGCCTATCTCATATACTTCTAACAAAATAATGCCTATTCACTCTCGCCTTAAAAAGGCCAAAGTTACACTTTTCATGAAACAATTCCAACGCCGTACGCCATGTCATTCATAATATACGAGTGGAACTCCAGCTTATTAGGATACTATCGTGTAATCTAAAATGTTTTACTGGAATTTGTTATCTCAAAGATTTACAGTTTTAAGGAAGAAATACGTTTACAATCACTACTGAGACGTTAAATCCAGAGACAATTCTTTTTTCAAGTGCTAAAGACGAAGGCACCTAAAGTTCTTTTTAATTTGAAAAATGTCAGTTACACAGATTTTTCTTATGAATAAAAATTAAACTAAATAAGATATGTAAAAAAACCGTATAAATACTTAATTCCGCTAAAAATATCGATTACGTCAATTAATGACAAGGACAGCAAAATTGTAAATCTCATTAAATCGATATCTCCAATGAACATTACGCCAATCTAATTTTTGGACCAGGAGGTCGATTCAGAACCTTACGATAACTCAGTTGTCGACCGATTCGATTTGACATCGTACGATTTCTTTTCATTTTTTATTCACAACACCCGTATCGCACTGTCGTATTCGAAACCGAACCGAAATGACGTCAGACCCGTGCGATTTCGCACTTCAAACTTCTCAACCGGCAAAGGTTACAAACGTTATTCAGAGTTACCGAATGAACGTTACCGAAAGTCCTATTGTTTACAAAGCACGAATGTAATATGGAAATTTCTTATCCGAATCGAACATTTAACTCGAATCTTCTGAATAGCTCGGAAAGCGCCTACCGATTCGAAAACGATACCCATTTGAACAAATACGGTTAAAATATCGAAGAGTTCTGATTCTGTTCTGTTTAAGTTTTGTTTTCAAAAAATTCGTTCTTTGTTTTTTTCCAATTCTGTTGTTTCATTATTTAAAAAAAAATTTGGCTGTTTACAAAAATAACAGAAAATAACCAAAAAATAAAGTTGACACAGTGTTCATTGGAGGTATCGAAACGCCTTTTTGTTTTCAACAGAAATGGGTGTAATAACAGACGTGACACAACAACTCTTAAAACAAATCAATTGCCAATATGCGGATTGGACGTGAGTATCATCAGAAGTCTGTACCAGGCTGATTTTATACGTCTCATGCAGGGCATGGGTCTCCTCTCAGGCGAGGGTTTTGGGCCACACATCAATAAATACAGAAGAAGTGCTTAGTGGGCGTGGTACGCGCGCCAACAGTACGCGAAGTTCCGCAAATTTGAGCTCAGTCTGCCATTTTCGCTTTGTACTTTATATTAGTGTCAATTATCTCACTAAATTGTGGAAACATACCTTCTGCTTCTTTGGAGAGCAAAAAAGATTGCTCCAGCATCCATGGCGGTGTTTCATATCATCGTTTAGTCCTATTTCATTTAATTTTAAAATATACCATTTTCTGTTCATCGTTATAGAGTTTTCGTTAAAAGACTCGAAAGTAAACCTTATATAGCTACAATACGGTGGACTTTTTTTGGAGAACGCTAAAAGTTCGTCGTCTCATAGCCTTTCAGCTATAAAGTCAGAAGAGCGATCCCGGATTCAAACCCACGGCCTCTGCTTGACGGTAGACCAAGCCATTAGGGTGCTAACAAACTGACTGCATGTTTACAGTTAATGCGTGAAATCGTAATCAACTTCATGCAGGCGAGACCACGACTGCATTAAAGTTTATAACGACTTCACGCCAGTTCACGCATTAATTGCATAGTCGATCTCGGCTGCATGAAGTCGGTTTCAACTTCACACATTAACTGCAAACATGCAGTCAATCTAGATGTGGTCTGGCCCTATGCTCTCATTCTCCATCCTACAGCGTCCGACCAAACAATTACTGTCAAATAAGAAATACTCTACCAAATTTAACGTCCTTTGGTTTGGTCGAGTATTGCTTATTTGACAATAATTGTTTCGGACGGATGTGGGAGTTTTTAAAATGTTCTGTATTCCAGAAGTAGCAAATACGACCCACCTGCAAAACATCACAAAAAGAGAGGTGACGAAAAAAGAAATAGAGTAAGCTATTTATTATTTTAAAGAATAAGGAACTAACATTTTATATTCGGTTATTCACAAACTTACAGTAATAATGGGAGCTGAATATTTCTTTTTTAATTTCAGACAAAGAACATGTGCAGTGACCTAAGAATTGCAGGTATGTAACTTTGTATCAGTTTATAATGAATTTAAACAGTATAAAAACGCGCTAGATCGCGCCGCTGTCCAGCTGCTGGGACTGCTACGGACCACTTTCCCAGTGTACCGCGTCTGTGTGTCCTGACCTTAACAAGCGAACTTTTCTAAATTAGTTCCTGTGTTGTTTGAGCTGTCTGGCACATATTCGAAACGCGGCGAATGAAACTTTTAATACAAATATCAACGAAAGGAAGCACAGGAAGTCTGAAAATAGGACTAAAAATACCTTAGGTTATTGCGATCTAACTGCAATAGTCTGTCTTTTTTGAAGACGGAGTAAAATGACAGTTCAATGCGCAAAAGTGTTGCTCGCAATGTCGATAAACATTCTATCGACTATCGACTGAATATTGGTCACCAAATGGAATACATAGCCGAACTTGTTTCATTTGAATCATCCTCGACCCATTATTCATCCAATTACTGAACACACGTTCATTTGAATTGTCAATTTTTGTATGTTATACATATACACACTGTATTTAGAACTGTTTATGAAAAATGGAAAGAGGAGACATATTTTAAAACATTCACAATTGAGTCATTTTTGGCAACATTTTATCTTCTTTCCCAATCCATCGATAAGACTATCGATAGCAACTACATAACTATTTAAAATTTTATACAAACATTTAACCCTGTAAATGTAATTTTACTCCGTCTTCAAAAAGGACAGACCACAGGTTTTTTTATGATATCAACTGACGGGACGAACAAGTCGTGCGCCTGATGGTAAGCGACTTACCAGTCCATAACACTTACAGTGCCGGTCAAAGCTAAAAATGGCAAAGATCTGAGGGGCATTGCTACTTTCACATTAAGATATAAGTTGAAAAGTATCATGTGTGTGTGTGTGAAACCGAAACGTAGTAATGGTCACATTACTGCTTGGCGGCAAAAATAGGTAATATAGCAGTGCTTCCCTAAACGAACTCTTCCACAAAGAGGTCTTGCTCAGACTTCTCTCTCTACTCAGACCAGATTCAGAATCAAATTAGAAAAGTTAATTTCCCAAATTGGTCCCACCGGAAATCGATCCCATGACCTCCTAACCTAGCGCCCACAGCACAAACCGTTGGGCCACCGAGGTCGTCATTAAAACAAGAAAAATTGCGCTTCAGCGTAGAGTTAAGCAGCAGCGTTGTCAAGGAAGTGTGCTGCCAATTTACCTATTTCTGCCGACAAGCAATAATGTTAGCATTACTGCGTTCCTGTTTTGAAGGGTAAGGGTGCTGGTGAAATTACAGGCACATGGAACTTGTCAACTTATGTCTCAGGGTGACAGGCGCAGTGGCGGTGCCTCTCAGATATTGCTGCTTACTTACTTACTTACCTATTTCGCTAACTCAGCAACCCGAAGTTAAATCTTGGCATCCGATACGAGTTGGTGCCGGCGCGCCCTGTCTTGTGCATTCTCTTCCTAGTTCACTGCGTGTAGGGCGCGTTTTTCTTCATTTCGAACCTTCTTCGGTATTCCAGAGGGTCGTCGGCTACTAGGAAGTCACATGTAGGCCCTTTTGACCTGGCATCCGGTTGTCTGAGTCAACGGAGTCTTGCGACCTTGATTTTTCTCTCTATTATGCACAGATACGATGTCCTCCAGCTCCTGGAAGTCTACCACGAAATACGATACTACGTGTCTGCTTCCGCAACGAAACTCATACGTAGTATATAACGATGGGTCCTAAGTATAGGCAATACTAACAACCCACTAACTGCCTCCGTGGCCGAAAGGCATCGAGTATATTACCAGAAATAGAGGCGAAATGTCATTTAATTTGTTTGAAAACTATTCTGCCATATCATTACTGTGACAACTGCGCTCCGATTGGCTAGCCCGAGTTCGAAACAATTGACGGGTGTCGTCAACGGGTGTCGTCAACTGTTTCACTTTAAATCGACCAGTTAACTTGAGCTTTGCTGTAATGGACGAAAATTGCAAAATTACATATTTAATATTTAATTACCGATGAAATTTGATTCCGTTTATTTTGTAATTAGATGTTTTGTTGTTTTTCCCACACCACCGAATAGAACAGCACGGCATTGTTAGTGATATTATCTTTATTATAATAAATACAGAACATTTTCTGGAACATACGGAGACGAACACACAGGTCAGTAGTTGGCCTGTCTATATTTCAGGGCAAACGAGAGTTGATATTTATAAGAGCTGTATCGCTAATACGTTACCAGGAATATATGGCCCTTATTTCGTCTCTATTTCTGGTTATATACTCGATGCCGAAAGGATACCATGCCGAATTGCCACGCAGAGGTCCCAGGTTCGATTCCCGGGCCGGGAGAAATATTCGTAAGATCTACATTTATTTCTCTCGTGAGTTTGGGTGTAATTGGGTTGTCTATGTATGTGTCCATAGCACCCGCGACACAGGGTTTCCCTAGTGCGGGAGTTTGTTGAGTGTGTGCGTGAGTGTGTGCGTTTTAAATCTACAAGGTAGCGTTAAAACAAAATCAAACATATTCAAGGAAACCTCAAAATACAATCTTGAAAATTGTGATTTTTTGCCCTGGCCTTTATACATGGGACCCATAGATCTGTCAGTTTTACGATGAAAGTAATGTCAAAATACGAAAGCTATCATTTGATGTTCGAAGTAAGGATTTATATCAAATTACGATCTTCGTACGCGTTTCGTGGTAGCCTCCAGTCCGATACGAAAGTAAAATGATGATCGTTGCTTCGTATTTCGTGGTAGACCTCCTGTTTCTTTCGGATATACCTGTTAGTTATGATTTTCATTTTAATTCGCAGCGTTCGTGTGTCTTCTTTACGCAAATTTTTATAAGTATCAATGTACTGGTTTTCCACAGAAGTCTAATAGGACATGTTTTTTCCAGAACTGGGAATGTCAACAGAATTAGCCAACATGGCGCTTCGAAAACCATCTACAACACGTTTTACCACTGGATCCCATTTTAAAGGGTAAGTGTAAGAGCGGTGACACACGGGCGTTGCGTCGTCGCAACGCTATGATTGCAAACACGGAAGAAAAAAACAATATTAGATTACTATCAGAACCTCTGTCATACTCGATGTAATTATCTCTCAAATAGATCTTTTGAATAAAAACTTTATTTATTTGATTAAAAATTATTACGTAAATTATTGAATACAAATACAAATACAAAATTATTTATTTTTTCTACTCACAAAGCTACAAGACGCGTATTAAGAATAAGGTACTTAGAATTAGTTACTTTTGTGAGAGATTGGAGCCTAAACTAGGAGTATCCTGTATGACAGGTCTCCAAGCACCCACCCTGCGTGACTACATTAAACATTACATTAACCTTAGAGCTAAGTCCAAACTCAAGGTACCATTTCGTTTAACCAAGGTAAACGACTCTTTTATGGGGAACAGTATACGATTTAAGATTCCGGAGCATACATTAAGATTAGTTAAGTTTAAAACCTTAATTAAAAATATTTTATCTACACACATACCATAAACTCTCTATGTGTTCAAAAACCGCAAATTACGACCAGCACAATAGGTAAACTGTTTTGTTAGAACAAATTTATTATGACTGGACCTCAATTCTAATATCAGTCGAGGTGAAGTTTTATTCGAAATGAAATGTCAATAGGAAACCAATTTTGACAATTTCACACGTTACTTGATATCGAACGATATGATACTTGGAGCCGATTCTAGTTTGTCTAAAAATAAAAACTACGGTTGTGTAACATGCGTGAGAAAAGTTTTTATTTGCCGCCATTTCGCCAGTCGTAACATGCTGTTCCTGAACACATCACAGAGAGCTTATAATGTGTGTGTAGATAAAGCACTGTATGTAACTGTACATACTCATAATCAGGCATTAAAACACTCGTGTGATGTTTTTATGAAACTCACCTGTCGGCTCGTTTTACAAACGCTATACCAACTAAGTCACGGAACGAACAAGCGGATCTTACGATTTTTTTTGTGTTTGTTGCAAACCTTTGTTTACGGTTTTAATGGTAGATGACAAATCTATTTCTTCACTTTAAGTTGAATATTTTCTAGAAGTACCAGGAGTATTCAACTGAGCCCAGCACCTTCAAATAACCGTTTCAAATAGCAAAAAATAGTATCTTTTAAAAACATTTAAAATTAGTTAACGTGTTGGACTTATCGGAACTTACCCTAACGATGCATAGCTGAAATATCATTAAACAATATCATTATTCTAAAACTGGGTTAGTTAGCGGATGGCAGATGTGGCGTGTGCACTAAAGACAAATCATTATTATATTCACATACACTAAACTTAATTTGAATTTTAATTACAGGTCCAGAACAAAACCAATGGACTCTCGTCGATTATCTGGTCTATCCGTTCTGTCATCATCGGCTGACAACCTCGAAGGTTGGATCGAATCCTCCTACAATGAAAGACGTCTTAACTGTAGAAGGTAACTGATGACGTCACCAATGTATAGACCTGGTAATATTAAGTAGAGTAGTATTTTCAGTATTTGATGCCTTAACCTTAATAGCACATTGTATATTAAGGACGGAATATAAGAAACATCGAGTATATAACCAGAAATAGAGACGAAATGTCATTTAATTTGTTTGAAAACTATTCTGTCAAATCATTACGGAGACAAGTGCGCTCCGATTGGCCAGCCCGAATTCGAAACAAATGACGGGTGTTGTCGATTGTTTCACTTCAAATCGACCATTTTTACTTGAGCTTTTCTATAATGGACGAAAATTACATATTTAATATTAATTACCGATGGAATGTGATCCCGTTTGTTTTGTAATCAGAAGTTTTGCTGTTTTTCCAATAACTACTTCAATCACTTTCAAATATCACCGAGAGTTAATATTTAAAAGTGATATAAAGCCCATTGACCTGAAGAGTTGCCAGGGCCCCTTATTACATCTCTATTTCTGATTATGCACTCGACGATAAGAAATTACTAACGAGGGTCTATTAGAATCTAGATAGAGCTTTAATACTCGAGTTTTGTATTTTTTACCGTCCGTGAAACGTCCGTCCGTGTTTTTCATAACATTTGCGAGGAAATAAATACTTACAATGTTTATTACTTGTATTAATTATTTATTTATTTAAACACTTTATTGTACCACAAAGTAACTTACAAATTTACAGAAACAATTTAAATATTTGTGTACAAAGGCGAATAATTAAACAAATTAATGAATAAATATGGTTCACAACACAACAATTATGAATTTTGCAAATGGCGGGTTTCTCGTTTTTTTTTAATCAACAGATGCCTAGCTATTCTTCCATAGATAATGCAACTCGAGCTAAAATTTTGTAAAAAGCCAAAAATTTGATAAAATTTACAGAAAATAATTAAAATTAATTATAAGAGATTCTTAATAATAAGTATTCAAGTAGAATGTGACTGAATTTAGATAACATTTTAAACGAATGTTTTAATTTTGAACTTAAGTAATCTCCTTGCTTGAACTTGTACCTGAACTATGTAAGGAAGTATGTCGTGCTACAAATTAAAAAAACCCATACCGACCATGGCTGTAATGAGAATATAAAAGGCCCGAGGGTTAACCGCGGGAAAACTTTTTGTAAGTGCGTATAATTTTACCTCCATGTCACTTGAATGAGGTCACCAATAGAGCATGCATAATGCCTATTCACTCTCGTTTTAAAAAGGCCCAAGTTGTAACGTTCCAGGAATAAGTCTGCAGGCAAGGAATTCCAATTGAAATTAAAACAATTCCAAGTTAAGCAATGGCTACTTAACGTGCATAAATCACAATGTTGATGGACTAAATTATTGTAATTGCAAATCATTTCTTGTTTTATTTTAAGGTTCTTAGTTTATTTGTCACCTGTTTAAAAGTATATAAGAAGTTGAAACCTGTTCCAGTGCCGTTTGTATCCGGTATTTAACATTCTTTTACTTGTAATATATAATTGTCAGCAGCGGATGTCCATGTATGAAGATGGAACCTGAAAAGCAGCATGTAGTGCTGAGGCTTCCTCCTTTCCATTAGCACTAGATTCCACATTTCCGAAACTGTTAACATTTTTATTGTAAATGTGCTTATTGAATAAATGTCTTATTAAGATTAATTATTGTTCCTTAGTCACATTTCAAGTTAAAGTCTAGTCTAACACATGTGTTCCCCGGACAGAAAAATCACTCCATCCGCCTCACCCTTATTTTTGAGCAGGGATTGAAAACCATTTTATGTATCGAAATTATTTCTAAACCAATATAAAAATATAAGAATCCTGACACATTCTATAGCCGTTCGCCATATAAATATGAAAGCGTAACGCTTCGTGTGAACCCTTCGAATATCAACAACATAAGGGTGAAATCCTAACCTACCTACGTCTAGACCCCCGGTTATGAAAAGGGGAGGGTGAAATTAAATAGAGCAATTTCCATCGCTCATTCTTCGTGATATAACCTGTAGTATACCGATAACCATACAACTTTACGGCGGTGATCAAGGCTCTGCAACCTCTATGAAATCCAAGTCAAGGTGGCCAATTGGTATTTATTTTTGTTATTACGATAACCCAGTGACAGAAATGATAATGTCAGTTGTTGTCAGCGCGGCAACGCCAAAGAAAAAGCTATTCATTGTCCTGAACAAAATTTCAAATTAAATGTCATGGCTTCCTTTTATTTAAGACTCTATGTTATATAGAAGAAAACAATCCTTATAATTGAGGCTTTCGATAAGTGTAGTAAAATTACAGATTTTTTTTCACATTTGGCGGGTTCGATTCCCGGCTCAGACAGGTGATAAATATTTTTGAATGCAGTTCGAATTGTTTTTTAAATCAAAATAAAGTCTTCTTTCAGTAAAATTGTCTATCTACGGTATTTAAGGTATTTTCCATAACCGTGTGACACCTTGTATAACATAAAGCCATATTGCTAATACAATTACATGCAGTCGAATTGTCACTTGTCCTTGAAACTGAAATTTTAACTGAAGTCATTCTGTTTCAGAAACACATTGGGAGAACTTTTGAGAAATATACTGAGGATCCCTCTTGCATACTGTAAGTTGATCTACCATTTTATGGAATCTGGTGATAATGTATACTTCGTTTCAATCCATTTTAAACAAGAAGTAATGACCCGACCATGCATTTAGTGATGGCCAATTGTAATGCCAACTACAAACCGATTAATTAACTGAATGAATAGATTTGTTTGATTAAGTCATAGCGTACTCAGTAGATTTTATGCAGGAATTTAAGATACAAAAACGCTGAGTACGAATCATTCGCGGTGGGTCTCAAATGGATTCGTGTAAGCCATTTTTCGACATGTGCAACATCCTACCTTACTCTATTTGTTGGTCTATTTGTCCAGAAACTTTAGTCATATTTTAAATTCGCTCGCGAAAAAAAAATTACTAAAAAAAGGAACCGTAGAAATTTAAGGCATACAATGGTTAACTCGGGCAATCATACCTCAGTATTTTACCACAAAAGCTTTTATGTAATGTCGGTTTAATGTACAACAGCATTCCGTATAAGTAAGTTAACCTTAGAGCTAAGTCCAAACTCATGGTACCACGATTTCGTTTAACCAAGGTAAACAACTCTTTTATGGGGAACTGTATACGTTTTTACAATAAGATTCCGGAGCATATATTAAGTTTATCATTTCCTAAGTTTAAAAACTACATTAAAAATATTTTGATCGAAAAATCATATTGCAAAGTTGAAGACTACGTGTTAGATAAAGATGTATGGAAAGACGACATGGCTCCAGAATCCACACAAATTTGATTCAAAGTGTATTCCATAGCATTTAAGTTTATTTGAAAAGAGCAATCCCTAGAGTTTCTTGCTCGTTCTTCTCAGGGAGGTCAGCGTAGTGAACGAGCAGTAGCTTAAATGGGACGTTTTCAAGTGTAAATTTATTTTACCTATGGAATAAATAATCTTTGACTTTGACTTTGACTTTGTACTAAACTTTATCCTAGTGTAGAAGAGTTTTTTGACGACAATAACAAATTTGGTGCCTAGGGATGTGACATGTTTATTCATAATTGTTTTCTTTTTCTCATATTGTGTATGTAATTTAATTTTATTTTGTGACATTTAAATAATATTATAAACCTTAACTAGACCATAGAGCACAAACCAATGTAATATTTTAAGAACTTATGTAATTACCTATAGTTATGCGATAAATATGTTCTTATTCTTACTCTCATTCGTAGTAATTTTATTGTATTGCATTATGGAGTAATTTCACATAAAAACAATTGAATTTCAATATAATAAATATTTCAATATAATGAATAGTGACGAAATATCATAGGTTTCTCATAGATGGCGCTATGGCAAAAAAGTCGTTGAAAAACCGTTGCATTTACAAAGATACGACGCACATAGAAAAATTCGTGAGGTCCGCTGGTTCGTTCCGTGGCTTAGTTGGCATAGCGTCTGGTACGGTATGCTAGAAGTCGTCGGTTCGACTCCGGCCGGATCGTAGGATTTTTTTCTGACTGTTCGATCTTTGTATTAATAATTATAATAATCATAGCTGTTTTCCTTATATATCCTATAAAAGCATATTTAAAATTTCCGTAATCTTAATTTTACATCCTCCTTCAAATCCTTATACTTAGATACCCGTTCGAGTGCGATTAAAATTTTGATTTACTAATCATTTACAAAATTTTAATTGAATGAACTGATTTTTTTTTCGTACAGCACTGTGCAACCATAGACAGGTCTGTATAGTTGAAATATAACCTCACTTTTGGGTACCCATTTTTCAAACACGATTTTACGATGCTATTCAAATGAAAATTGTTGAAAAAAGTGATGAGATATCAAGTCGAAAAGTGTTACTTATTCGATTTAATGTGTGACTGCTATAGAATTTTAACCAAACAGTTTTGTTTAAAATGGAATGGAACAAACTATAAAAATATTTTGCTAACGTCATTGACACCATGTCCTTAAACAAACTACTACACACACCGGCGCATTTAGCAGAACACTACTAAAAATCGTGTCAACCGACTTCAAAAAGAACGAGGAGGTTCTCAATTCGCCTGTATTTTTTGTGTGTATTTTACGCGATTACATTTGTGAAACGAAGCAGTGATCCCATTCAAATTGATTGTATTGTATTGTATTGTTAGTGTATTCGCGTATCACACTATGCTTTATCATACCAAGAGCACGATATATAATTTTAGAGTTTAAGATATAATCCCATGACATGTTTGCTTTATAAAAATTTTAATTTCTTTATTTTATTTCAGTCAAGAATCAGATCATAGCTAAAAGTTCTCTCATTAGTGTCCTGATGAGTACGAATGAAGACAGCTATAAGTAAGTTAAGCTCATTCGTTATCCATTATAACGGAGAAGGACAAGGGAATATGAAACCAAATCATTTATTTCGGACACAACAAATCCATATACAATTACAAAAGTACAATTAAAAATTAGAAATAAATAAGTTAAAGGACGTTGCCCACAATCAGACTCGGTTAATGGATGTTTGCGTACAAACACCACATTATTTTTAAATTATGCAGTTATAAAACACCTTTTATTTTATGTAAAAAAATATTGAAAATCCATGGCGTTGACATGTAACAGGGCAATCAAAATTTGATGTTAAACATATTTTTAACTCTATGAAAACCCTGGTTAGGTATTTGTAGTTCAGACATCTGTCAAAATAAATATCGTTACACTCACGCGCAAACCTTGCACTGTCAATTATATGCCATGACCATTATTGTTGGGGCTGGTTGCATTCATGCACTTGTTACCTCATCCTCCGCAATCCTTCGTCATTCGTCGTTGCTTCTGTGCGTTTACACAGTTTCTATTGTGTTTTTCCCACTATGGAGTGCACGTATTTCACGCTCAAAATTGTTAACTGTGTGATAAACAGTGATTACAAAATACTCGAATAGTTTTGCACTAACATAAAAAATTCCCAGTACCCTCAGTAATGCGACAATTATAAAGTACACATTTCTCTGTAAATCCAACCATATACCATTTCCGTACGCCGTGGGTATTGTTTTCGTAGATCGGTGGGCCATGACCTTTAGAAATTAGAAACTAATAATAAATATAAATAACATAAAATTGTAAGCAAAATAAATAACGTAAAGGGAACAAAACTCGCGTGTCGCGCGTCGCGCGCGTAGTGTCTAGCTACACACCTGTCCATTGCTGCTGCAGTGCCACTCAGAGCTTTAAACCGCAAATTTAATATTAACGATATTAGTCAGAGCGAGAAAGTAGCCAGGAATAGAGATCCGTGTGAAAGAGTTCGTCCACCATATAAACTTAATATTGATTAAATATAGTTTTTTAAACAATTCAAATCCGTTGTTCTTGTTGTATTCTTATTAAAGAACACTCTTTTCTTCCAGTACTTTATTCCAAAAAATAAAAATATTGTTTGGCGAGGAAGCAAAGCGCAACGTACCCCGTAAGTCCTTTTAAATGAGATTAAATTAATTTGTATTTAAAAATAACATGACCTGTAACTGTATCCACGTTAACGCGACCTCTCACTGCCTGTGATTTTATCGATCACCACACTACCGCACTCCGACGCAACATGGTAAGAGACTCATCCGTAGCAGCGTAGACACATTCGTAGCATGAATCAATGCAGTTTGTTATACGCCTTCTAGTACACACAATATCTCACACACACGAACTTAAAGATTGTAACACCAATGTTTTATATTATTAGAGACACTTTGTTAGAGAAAGAATAAAGATTTATGTAACAATCACAACACGCCATTGGTTCAATCGCGCCACTGAAGTATTGCCAATGAAATACAATGATCGAATGAAATTAACTAGTTAATGCATTCTATTGCCATAGCATTTGTATGGCTCTAAAAGGCTTTCAACTTATTGAGACTTTCGGTACTTACTTACTGCTATCTTAGCATCAGCACTGAACTTTGTGCTTTCACATCAGTGAGACTGTTGGGTCCTTATCCGCATGAACTACCTATTTGTTTTTGCCTTTTTGTATAATATATGCCTTGTCCACGAAGTCTGCGTCTCAATTTTCTACGCACCCCCTCCGCTGACCACGCTATATTTATTATTATTATTGTAGCGAAAAAATGAGGAAACTATGCATGGGGATGGGTTGTGATGCTGTAATCGGTTAATTATTATTATGAAAAAGCATCAGCCTTGCGGGGAAATCTGCAAAACCACACTGTGGGAGACCGCCTTTAGAATTCAAAGCCAACGAATTAATGATTTCAAGAAGCTTTAAGATTTTATTTGAAAAGGGTTGCTATTCTAAACTATCTTATATTAAAAAGATTTTATTTCATTTTGAAGGTGACCAAAACTTTAGACCATCCAATAGTATTACGATATTCCTTGCTGCTCTGTCAAATCTTATACCCTGTTGAAATGCAAGTAGCTTTTTTTATTAAATGAAATAGGACTTTATTCATCAAACACACCCACCCATATAGATAGAATATTACACGATATTATGGAGTAATCAATTATGAGCTAAATTATGAAAAGGACGAAGGCTCAGTATAATGCTGTTTTTCAGTCTGTGTTCTCTGTCGGATATTGTCGGAACATAATTTTGAACAAAACGACTACAACAAAACAAACACTTTATATTGTCAAACTGCAATTGTTTTAGCTAGAGATGTTAAAATAAAATATTTTTCTTTTAGATCGTGCTGTAAAAAGGCTTTATTCAACAATAAATCGACGAAAAATACCATACAAGCTTGGCTGGTAATTATAATTTATTTAGTTACAGTTTATACAATTACGTCAATTCATCAAAAGACGAATAAAATTTAACTTTCGTTCAAAAGTGCCTGAAAGAAAAAAGAAACTTAAAAGAAATATGTTCACGATCTATGAGATATCATTTTGATGGTGATAGTCATTGACTTACAATTATATGGACGTCGGGTCCGTGCTAAAAAGTGTCCGAACTTATAGGGCGTTAAAATCGTATACAGAGCGTCATTCACGCTTTAGTCTTCGTTTGTTCGACTGACAGCAAAGCAAGCAAAATTAAACAGTACTGCGATGACATTACAATTTAAATTCAACGTTTTAGCTTTTTCATATTCCTTTACATATCACTACGTTTAAATAGGTTGACTTGGGACATTTTTTTCGTGGTTTTTGTATTAGACCCGTCGTCCATTTGTTTGTAAGTCAATGGTGATAGTTGTTTGTTCACATTTTTGATCTCGAATTATATATTAGGGTATACACCATCCAAAGGTTGAATAGTTATTTGTTATGCAAGGCTGCATAGCCGTTGTTTGACGCGTTGAAACCTGAACAAGCGAAGGAAGCTAAGATTAAGATTATTCCCGAGGGTTTCAAGGCACGAGACGCAAACTAACTAACTTTGCTGCCGAGCGAAACACACAACTTTTCACTCACTATAGCGAGGAAAATGGAAGATGAAAGAAAAACAGTTAAACTATATGACATCAGTTTTTTAATTATTTTTTTTCTTCTTTCCATAAAGGAAAAGGCAAAGGTTTTACACCATACAGCCAAGTCTTAGTATATTATTCTTTTTTGGTACATGAAGTTGAATTATGTTTCTGTAAATATGGACGCCACAAAGAGGATAGGCAATTTGAGGCGGCGTGCTTGGATTGACTCGGGATTCCTTAGAACGGGCCGATACGGGTATTTTAGTTCGAGATTCGTATAATTTCGCGTTTTAATCTTCGATTACGGCACAATAGCACTATCCTATTCCACTTTAAACTAGATTTCACAAAATAATTGAAAGTCAAAATAAAAACGACACTTTTCCCTCCAAAAGGTCCAGAGCGAATTCAGTTTTTTAATCAAAACAAAACAGTTTATCTTCGGATGCGTTCTGAATTTACACCTTATTAATTTTCATTCTTGCTTGTACTTTAATTTAGTGTGATTATCAAAATTATTTTAGTTATTCGAAGAATTAAAATAATTTAAAGTAAAAATGCCAACAGATTTATATTACATAAATAAATAATGTACAACAAATCGTTTAGTTCTTTATCGTGTATCTTTTTTTTTCAACGAAAGAAATAGTTACTTCGAATTTCAAAAACCTTTTTCCAAGCCTTTCCGAGCTGGTGAGGTGAAAAAGTTATTTAAAGTGATTGCTTGACTCGATCATTAGTAAGAAAAACAAAATTGACATATTTCTTTGTTTACAGGCTGACGATGACAAATGCCAGATCTTGTCACCCAAGAAAGTAAGTTTGATTTATATTTTATATGTACAAATTTTAACGCCTCATTTCAACTTCTGTTTAGGATACCTTTTTTTTTTTAATTTATTTAATACTTTTACAAAAACTTAAACATATTACAAGCAGCTGTAGCTCAAAAACCACTAAGGGTTTATCTGTCCACAGCGATTAAACTTTAAATTTAAATTAAAGCGACCTAAATTTCCAATTATTTTTCCTTTACAAATTTCAGGTTATTAGCTTCAGTACTTGCATTGGTGCGATAAATTAGTGTTTGTATTCCTTGTAAATGAATGAACGGAATTAATTTATGAATGATTTCATTTCCATATTTCTGCTTTAGTGCACATTAAGATTTTATTTATTTTCTTCTGTGACAAAATGGCGCGCATCTAGAGTTGAACAAGCGCCCGGATTTTAACTCGGCGCTTTATTATCTTAAGGTTTAAATCGAGTTAAAACCCATTAACGCCCAAAATGGCGTGCAAAAATTATTTACAACTTAATATTTGTTTTAAATCGAGTTTTGTTCAAATATTAATGATAAAACTACAAAATTTTATTGCTTTCTGATTTAGACGATTCGAAGTTCATGATAGAAGTACTTTTAAATAGAAAACCACCGCGAGACTCTGATATTATTATATATATAAAACTACAAGTTCTTACTAACTAATAAAAATAGAACGCATACTTCCCGTTAAGGTGGAAAAAAAATATTTGTACCGTTGTACGCGGATAGGCTCCAAAGCAAAGAATCAAATATGAGATAACCTGAATATGGAAAATATGAAATGCAAAAGCTATAATATATGGAGTGAATATTTGTGCATTTTTATGAAGTACACCCTGGTCAATTTCCGCGAGAGTAAAAAATTATCGAAATTCAAATAAACAAGATGGCCGCTATACAAATTTCAAAGCCTCCTATCACGGAGACTATTAGAGATAGGTAGGAGGTGCTCGAAGGAATGTCATAGAGGGTAACACTGGTCAACTGCCAGGGTTAAAAAAATTCAAGATGGCGATTTCAAAATGGATGCCGCACAAAAACTTGCTACGATCCGGCTGAAAATTGGCATGCGAAGGTCTTTAGGAGTCCTTAATCACAATTTGGGATCAAAAATTGCTTTTCGCCATTTTTTAATATGGCTGCCATATAAGTGTTATTTTCGTTAAAAGTAAGAGCCGAAAGAGATTTGTCTGATTCGACTGAAAATTGGCATGTGAAGGCTACTAGAAATAATAATTTGTGCTCAAAATTAGTTTTTCGCTATTTTCAAATATGACCGTCACAGAAGCGTTCGTTGGCGGCAGAAAAAAAATTGCTCAGATCCCTTTGAAAATTGGCATATGGGGGTCTCTAGGAGTGTTTGATAATAATTTGTGATCAAAATTGGTTTTTCACCATTTTTAAATATGGCTGCCATAGAAGCGTTTTTGGCGGCAGATGAAAATTTGCTCTAATTCTATTGAAAATCGGCATGTGTGGGAGTCTATGGGTGTTTAATAATAATTTGTAGTCAAAATTTATTTTTCGCCATTTTTTAATATGGCTGCCATACAAACTTTTTGGCGGCAGATGGAAATTTGCTCTAATTCAGCAGAAAATCGGCATGTGGGGATCTCTATGGGTGTTTAATAATAATTTGCAGTCAAAAGTTACTTTTTGCTCGGCCGTAGGCCGAGGTGTAGCGGAGGGCGAAGCCCGAAGCGTCCGCACGCCACCTTAAGTAGGTAGTATACGGAGACTATTACGGTACAAGATTTCACAATTGTTCAAAATGTAAGGCATACTTCCCGATGTAGTGGAAATAAGATATTTATAGCGTTGTTGTATCTCGACCGTCTCTTTGTTAGATTCTTTTTTCTTGGAAGCTATGCCAAAAAGAGAAGTTTAAGGAAAAAATGCCAGACAATCATTCCAAATTTCTGATTCCACAGTAACGATAATTCTGAGGGCAATACCCAGAATACCCTGATCAGAACCAATTAAAAAATATTTTTTGGTTCAAATCAGGGAGCGACTCTGGAACCTCCTCATCAAGCGCCCATAGTACTTAATCACTGTGCCAACGAAGAGCATAACCACACCCCATAATCCGAAACTGACCACGCGCCGCAGGTCGAGCTATAGGGCTCGTATTAACTAAAATGACGGAAAACTCACATATTTAAGTCGAATTTCGAATTCACTTTCTGTCGAGTCATTGCCGCGGAACCTCATGATTTTAGTTAGTAGAGGTAGGTACTTACTGCATACGGCCTTATTCCATCCTCATCATGTTACTCCGTATCGGTGACTGAATATCACCACACCATTTAGTCAGAGATAACCTGTTTTTATTCCAGTAACTAATACGTATCTATTATTTTTAGTTCGTCATCTTTGAAACACCATAGATGCCACTTGTAAGTACATAGTTTCATATAAATTTTTATTTTTTATTTAAAATTTTAGGAAATACTAAATTTTTTTTTTATAATACCAAGTAACGAAGGAAACATGGGCCTGGTGGTAAGCGACACGCCTGTTCATAACAGTGCCACTCACAGCTTTAAACCGCAAAAATCGGAGGGTACTGCTAGTGCGCCCGTCACCCTAAGACATAAGTTGACAAGTGCCATGAGCCCATAATTTCCTGCCGTAATTAACTTCCTCCGAACCTGAGACTTCGATTCCCGGGCCGTAAGAAATGGTCTGCATTTATTTCTCTCGTGAGTTTGGTTGTAATTTGTGTTTAGAATATTTTTTAGATTATATATATAATATAGAACTAATATTAGTTGGAATAGTTTTTTGCGTAAGCGCCGGGACAAACACACATGATCTTAAAATTGAAATACAATATTATAAACTTTACAGCAAAAGTTAAAACAATTACAATGATAAAAAAAAATGTAAAATGATGATAAATGCGTGTCGCGGCACACGCAAACGGGATATGATCAGCTATTAGCTACAGACTGATTTTCAGCCTGCAGCGCTGGTTTTTAGCAACCCCGATACGAGTGAAGCACGGACTCGACCGCAAACAAAACAAATACATACATAACAATGTGCGTGAAACTTGATATATACTAAAATATTTACACTAAATATATAATACGAATACATGGATAAGTGTGAACTAATTTAATTACTTCATTAATAGATATATACATATGTTATATGAAAATGTAATTAATATCGTGTGCAGTAAGTAATAAATAATTTGTGAGAAATAAATTAACATGTATTGCTCGCTCCATGGCTCATGAGTGTCTTTGAGATTTTTTATGAGGCCCATAGTAAGTGACCACGGTCCCTAGGTCATCGCAGGCGACACGCACTGCTCGAAGACTTTTGTCTTCAAGAACTGCGGTATTGCGGACCAGAAGACGCTTCGGAGCTCCCCGAAAGCTGCCCAACCGAGTCGTATTCGACGATTGACTCTCCAGCCTAAGAATACTCAATAACCAGGCTTGGAAATGTTGTTTTTCAGTTACAGGTGCAAGCATTACAGACGTTCACACAGCTATCGGTGCTTGAGATCTGCTGTAATGCGTCACGCCGGGCCTACTAAAAGTCAGTGAGTACAAGATTTTATTCATTTATATATCCTTTTTGTTTAATTAACAGATTCTGAATTTGGTCATTTTAAGAACATTTTAGTTACATCTGAAGCATTGACTTACAAATAAATGGACGACGGGTCTAATACAAAAACCACGAAAAAAATGTCCCAAGTCAACCTATTCGAAATTTAAATTGTAATGTCATCGCAGTATCGCGCTGTCAGTAGAACAAATGAAGACTAAAGCGGAGTTTGGCGCTCTGTATACGATTTTAGCGCCTTACAAGTGCGGACACTTTTTAGCGCGGACCCGACGTCCATATAATTGTAAGTCAATGATCTGAAGTTTATTATCCACCACAACAGTGAGGATATGAGATTTTTATATAACGTACATATACGTTCGTGCGTTCGTGTGTTTATGCATGCGTGAGAGCTTCTGTTCGTGCACAGAACAATAAATGCAGTAGAAGTGGTTAGTTAGCGTCTGGCGCGTGCCAAGTATAGGTCTAAAAGACCTATCTGAGCGCAGTCCGCCATTTTTGCTGTGTTTGGTATGGTTGTGTCGTACTTTCGTGCAAATTCTCTAAAATCCTAGAAAAGTGCCAGATTGTGCTGTTTTGGAGTGCAAAAATGATAGCAGCACCAATAATATTACCCGTGGTGCTATTTCATATCATCGGGAAGTCTTTTTTATGTTTGTCGAAATATTTTTTTTGCTACAAGGGAAGTAAAGCTTATGTCCCGGCAATATGGTCGCTTCTTGTTTGGATAACTAAATAAATAACTCCAATTCGTCGTCGTTCAGCAATGAACCGCTAGATAGCAGCATATTGATTGAAATTTCAATATAGTATCAAAACGTAACTTGTAATAATAGTTAACGGGATTCAACGATGTGCTAACAGGGGAAAATTTAAATTATATTGACAATCGAGAATTTGTTATTTCTTTGTAAATTTAAAACCACGACCAATCAATATCAAGATTTGGTAATGTTTCAAATTAAGGATGGTTGAGTTTTGGCGACATCGGTTTTGAAAATAATCGAGGCCTAAGTGTGAAGCCAGACGAGCGTAATTTTGTGAGTTGTGAGTTGCGTTTTTTGAGTTGCGCCGCATTCGGTTTCATATAAAAGTACGGGTAGTTTCACACGACGACGAAAAATGAGTTATCTGCCGACTCACGGGAGTAATGACGACTGACTTTCGGTCGCATCGTGTGTCGGGCTGGCGCGGGTGGAGGTAAGGGTGAGGGAAGGGGTCACTTTGGTATAAGATGTGTGTGAATATAGACGTTTCTTGCGAAAATATTCGATATTAAATATAAATAATTGAATAACTTACTTGTAAGTTATTATTTAGTCTTTCCTCTGGACTGATGGCTTGTCTCATATCTGTATCTGACTTAGCAAAAAAGGTTTTACTAGGTTTAATCATTCTTGAAAAACATTTATTGGCATGTGGTAGTACTTAACAATTGATCTGGATGTTCACATAAACTTGTATTAATATATGAAAATGCCCACACTTTAATCATTTCATATTAAGTGGATGTACCCAGTTTCTTTTTCGAACTTTTATTTTTCATGGATCTATTACACTATTACGACACAAACAACCCGTATAAACGCCTAAAAGCAACTGAATGTAATACGTCCGTCTGGCGCTCCAACCGATCGAGCGCAAAAAAAACGCAACTCACAACTCACAAAATTACACTCGTCTGGTCTCACACTAAGGCACTTCATTTTTTTTTCTTCCGTGTACTCGTGCGTGCGTGCCACAATTTGTGTGTGTGTGGAAATCGTTATTTTGGCATTTAGGCTCAACTCACACTGCAGCAGAGTCGAAGCGTCGCGACGCGTCATGTTTTTCGCCTATAGCATATTCATGTCTATTTTCCCATTATTAAGGTACAAATTTGTGTTGTGCAAATATGGAGACGCATCGACGCTTTGCTGCGGACGAGCGGCCTTTTTTTTGCCGTACGTTACTTGGGCGCAGTGAGGCGTCAGACGCCGACCACACTGTGATCCGGGCGCACTAATAACACTAACACGCGACGCGACGATTCGAATCTGCGTCAGTGTGAGTTGACCCTTACAGTCCGCTTAGTGGAAATAAAAGGTTCTTATAATATATCTCTTCTGCTTTCGATGGATACTATGAACTAAAAAATTTAGTTTTTTTTTTATGGAAAGTTCAAATGAAGTTTTTTATGTAATAATCATCGTAGAAAAGGTTATTTGAAATAACGAGTAGGATGATTAGCTTTTAAGATAACGGTAGGAATACACTTTTTTTAATAATAACATTATTTCAAAATTTAAATGTAAAATCCATGGTAAAATTTCCTTTCTTATAGAGACTTTTCTTACAAATTTCTATTACATGTGCTTGCTATACGTCTCTAAAATGCCTGTGTACTTTATGTTTCAGATTAGCATTATTTCGTACGAAAGTATATAACATACTGGCCCCTCCATTTCTCAGAAATCTACTTATTAGTAAGTATATTTTAACCGGTACGTGTATTAACAATTGATAGAGTACGTCGGAGCAAAAATGCTATTATTGCTGTAAAAGAAATTGTAATTGTCTATTTGATGATTAAAATTCACATTTGCATGTGATTTATGCATCTCAATCATTGACTTACAAATAAATGGACGACAGGTCTAATACAAAAACCACGAAAAAAATGTCCCAAGTCAACCTATTTAAACGTAGTGACACGTAAAGGAATATGAAAAAGCTAAAACGTTGAATTTAAATTGTAATGTCATCGCAGTACTGTCTAATTTTGCTTGCTTCGCTGTCAGTCGAACAAACGAAGACTAAAGCGTGAATGACGCTCTGTATACGATTTTAACGCCCTATAAGTTCGGACACTTTTTATCGCGGACCCGACGTCCATATAATTGTAAGTCAATGATCTCAATACTCAATATATTTATTGTCTTCATATTGTACATAATGTGACGCCACAGAAAGGCAGACAGACACACAGATACAGACAAAGGTTTGAAACTTATAACTCCCCGCCTTTTGCGTATGAGGTTAAACAATAATTCTAAGAATAATTAATGTCCCTTTTGTAGGATACCAGTCTTACATCATTTCCAGCCCTGTATTACCCAGTGCTGGTGTCGCATCCAACCTCCACGAATGACCAGCGGGGCAGACTACAAAGACAGACTAACTAGATTGACAGGAATTAGAAATTAGACCGACTTTCTTTTGACACGACAAGGTTCGTCCTGCCTAAACCTCTGACGCGAACTAACGACTTTTCCTGACTGGATTTAAAATAAATAGAATAAAATAAGAAGAGATTTATTTCTCCACAAAACATAGGAACCGCAACACTTAAGGACTAATAGAAAATACAATTGAGTGATGTGGGCAAAAGGGTTCAAGACAGCATTGCTGACTTTCAGTCTTCACCTGTAAGCTAGCTATTCGCTTGCTGCACCAAGCTAATATCCGGATTGTATACCAATTAACCGAGCTGAGCAGAGGCCACCTTTCGCTCCTGCAAAATTTTTCGGTCCTGTGCATCTCTTGTCCTGGTTTTACCCGCAACTTTTACTACGTCATCAACACAGCGTGACATTGAACGACCCGGATTTCTTCGGACTGTCCTTGGCCACCATTCCGTCAAAGCTTTGCTCCAACGGCCATCACCACGTCTAACCAGATGTCTTGCTCTACTCCACTTAAGGAAACATCTTGAACGTTCAACAGTCTTATAAATGTCTCTTTTATTCCAGCGGCACCTGCAATAACGTCAACCAAAGCATGTGGCAACAGCACAATCGCCGAGGAAAGATTTGCAATTGCCTCTCACGACACCACGTTCACTGACAAAACTCCAAAAACCACAACTACTATTACTTCTAAGAAACTGAGTAGCAATTCTTAGAGACATTTTGTGCATATACAGAGTAATTTTTAAAATACAAACAACCTCGCATGACTAAGTTTTTTTGTCCTTTTTTAGATCTATATTTGGCAGAATAAAGGACTACTCACATTTGACCATGCCGGGCGCGAGCCGAGTTACGTACAAGGCTCGGATTGGAAATGCTGCTTACGTTTTATATGAAGTGACATGGACGAGTGACGCCCGAGCCTCGGATGCGGATCGACCCGCCTCGGCTCGTAATGTCAACACTCTGTGACTCTTTCTAATTTAAGACCGTGCGTATGTACATACGTGACTCGGATCTCGGACACGGCTCGCGCCCAGCACGGTCTAATGTGAATGAACCTTAAGTTCAAACGTGCTAGCGTCCTCCGCGACGACTTCCACGTGCGTCCTGCATGGTGTTATTACCGTTTAGAGCGATCTATTGAAATCTATTCAATCTATTCAATTTTGTATGAAAATAAAACCTCATGAACTATTAAAGTCATGGAACAAAAGTTGTTGTTTAAGATGTTAGTGATACAGTCCTGCAAGTTTGTTAGTATTATAAAAATTATCCTGTATACAACCAATTCGGAGATAGGGCGCGTGTCCATTATGTCGTGACGACAGATAGTCGTACAGTTTAGTGTGTCTTGGTACAAGCCAAATATTTCAATAAAATTGTTCACATATAACACAACACGATTAACTGTCGTTCATGAGTTTTTTGACGTTACCACGACAGACTGTCGTGACAATGAGAAAAACTAGAACGACTGTCGTCCAACTGTAAATAGAACGTTACGACATAATACGAACGCTTTATTTTTTCTGTACAATACGATAACGACCTTCCAACAATATGTTAAAATAAAAAATGAAGTCGAGCTTAGAAATATATTTTATTGAAATTAATCAAAAAGCGTCATTCTCCTCTTCGTCGTAATATTTATTCGGTAGCCGCTGTCCACGACATCTCGCAAAGAACCCTCGCCGCCACAGCAGAACAGTCACGAAGACTAGCGGAAACGTAGCCAAAATACCTAGAAATAAAATTTTTGATTTTATAATTAAAAGTCCTCGTATAAATGGTGTGTGACAATGATATGAGAGTGTTATCATTGTGTAACCTAGTGCGTGATGTTTTTCACGCGCAGTTTACAAGAGAGGTATAATAAATTCCTCAGTGGAATTATAATACTGTATGAGTAACCATAGAGAGACCTTTTGTTTGCAAGAATTTTTCGGGAAGGGAAACATTGTTAAGAAGGTATTTAACTTATGAAGGTAATTTCCAGAAAGCAGAAACATCTGTGAGACAAACCAGTGTAGAATGGCTAGTGCGTAGTAAGGGCATACAGCTCATTTTCTTCGCCTTGTAGCAAAGATTTAAGGATCGTAAGGAAATTGGGAGTACTTTCTAAACGATGATAGAGTATATGCACCTAAATAATGCCTATTTACTGTCGTAACCCTGGTTATTGCATTTAGGAAACAAGTCTGCAGCATTCCACTCCATAGCCGTTCGTCATATAAATGTGGAAGCGAAGAAATCCTAAGAATATCACAATATAGGGGTGAAACGCCAGCCTGCGTGTATTCCCCGGACTATGGAAAGGGGAAGGCGGAATTAAATCGTGCCATTCCCTCGCACAATCTCTGTAATATATTCTGTAGAATAGCGATAAGCAGGCAACTTTACGACGCTGTTTAAGGCTCTGTAGTTTCCCTTCTACTAAATCGTGAGTCACCTGTAAACCTCTTGACACGCTTGCCAACTAAATCCCATATGTAGCAACTGTACTCCATACACGGCCGGATTTGAGCTTGGTACAGCTGAACTAATATGTTAAATAGATAGGACGCTGCAGAGACACATTGTGTAAATGGGGTTTCAGGGATACTAGTCAAACCCAATGTGACTGCGGTGCCCCAACACAGTCCATGCTGCACTTACTGTTGTGCCCCTTGTGTTCTAATACCTGTACGAGGGAATATCTCTACGCGGCCACGGACAGCGCAGTCAAGGTAGTAACGTACTATTCAGGGTCAATATAGGCTTGAAATAAAAGAAATATCAACACGATAAGAAGAAGTATGTAAAATTTTTGTAGATAGTACCACTTTCCATCAGGTCTTTTCCATCGACAATTTGTCTATAGATTTGGGGTTACTGAAGAAATATCGCGTTGAAAAATTGCGTCGCTTATACTGGACTATCTTAAATCTCCTGCTTCTGTAGATCTTCCTACGCTTTAATCTGAAGTGCAACCTTGCTGCTTTGCGATTTTGATGATAGAAACACAGCTACACTCCACTCTGCTTGATGGACTTTATGGCATCCAGTACCGGTTTTTTTACGATTATCAAGTGACGGTGATGGCAAGTAACACTAACTAACAATTTGCAATCTCAAAGACCTTAGGGGTCATCCTGAAACATAAAGTAGCCTATATGCATATAGTTTCACCAGCACCCTTGCCCTTCAAAACCAGTGTCTCAACAATAATCTTGCTACTTCTGCTTTCAATATGAATCAATAAGATGGTGCGCTTACCAATCATGATGCCCAATATCATGGCTACATCAGGGCCAGGACCTTCTACAAGCTTCTCACTCACACGACACTCGAGGGTTTTTGAGAGCTCGTGCAGCTTTGCGAAGGACATCCCTCTGAGGTCGCGCGGCTTTTTGCAGCTACAACAAACTACTTTTCATCATCGAACATTTACATTGATAAGATAACATTTACACTTTTAGAGTTAAAGCGACCCAATCCAAATTCCAACTTTTTAGTGTCTTACATTACATACCAAGATAGTAGAGTCTGGATTAGATACGAAACTGGGTGTGGATTACAAAAGAAACTAGCCAAATAATATAAATTTTGTGTATTATTTTGAATGCGCTAAAACACCTCACAAAAAACCCAACATACTTACATCATGCTATCAGCACTGATGCCACTTCTGTTCATCAACGGTACCAGCACATTCACCATCCACTGGCAGTTGCAATCGCAAATGTAGTTGTTGTTCCCAAAATCCATATTCGTCAACTGATCCCATTGATCGAGAAAATTGGAATTAATCTCCGATATATTATTGTTGTTTAGGTACAACTGAAACATAAAATGTAACATAGGTTAGGAATTACAATAACTAGAAAATGATCTCTCTGGGTCGACCAACTTAACGAAGACCGGTGGAGGCGGATCTGCGTTAACTACATGCCATCGATTAGTGAGAGATTACACAGGACCGAAAATAGTGGCATCTTCTCGTTCCGGGCACTTTTTGGGTCGCTGAACCAGCGGAGTATGTAAGAAAATTAACAGACTTGGGATCCAGTTGAGATGTCTCGATAACATCTCAACCAATACGCCTTTAATACCGGGCCTTTTATTAAGGGAGCCACCATACTTGCTAACGCGGAATCGGCTAAAGCCGGTCAGAAAATGTAATAAGGCTTAAAAGCCGTTGTACGTTTAGCGTCTGCTGTCCGAGTTTTTCCACTTATTATTCCATGGTATAGCTGCGGTTCAAGATGTGCGAGGTAGCCAGAAGGTGCGAGGATGTGTAGTGAAGCTGTAAAGCGGTGTGTAGCTGCGCGGGTGAGGTGCAAAATGGTGGGATGGTCGAAGGCGACGACAAACTTGGTCGAGTACCTCGTATATCGACTCATCCGTAGAACAAAGACCTTTGTGCAAGACTGCTTATTCTCAGGACACGGTATATTTCTATCGTTGTTCCTTGCTGTGCATATCAGATGACCGTTGTTCACTTTTATATTTCCGAAACGAAGTAACATATAAAATTTCTGAATACACCTATAGATAGGCCTTAGTTTGAATAATGAGATTATGTATTTATCCTCTTTTCGATGTATAATTACATCGGACTCTGTTCTTCGGATGAGTCGATATATTCCACGCTCACATCTCTCGCTTTCTTGTATGTACAAATACCCTCCGCTAGCCCTTTTCGGAATGCAATGATCCTAACATTGCAGCTTGGCGGCAAAAATAGGTAAGGTTCAACAGTAATTGTCGACGAGACGGATGTCGGATGTAGAACGGGAGTAGACGCCCTGTTTTTTTCGGCTTGTATCTAGTTAATGCGTTACATAATTTACATAAACTTCACTGTGCTGTGGCCAAAAAAATACGCTTTCATTCTATTTCATGGCAATGTAAATTGCGGACCGATAGAAGTACTTATAAACGTTCGTTACCTGCTTTATGTTCGGATATCGTTCCACATTGTGATCATCCGCAGACACCAAAAACCCCGGGTCGATTACAGTCAATCGAGGATTATAACAGACGTACAAAGTGACCAGGCTATGTAAACCTCCCAGTATCCCAGCTCCTATATGCTCGAGTTTGTTGAGGTGACATAAGCGGAGTTCTCTCAGTTTTGTCAGCTCAGAAATGGCGCTGAAATAGGAAGAAATATACATAGTCAGGTGGGGTAGGATGAAGAGGGACTTTAAGCCTCAACTCATAATTTAAAGAGTTTAGTCTTTCAGGCGATAAAACAGATAAATAAATTAGTTCAAACGATATTAAAGAAACTACGATGCTTCAAATTCAGAACGAAAAAAATTTGATATTCATAAGAAATACGATGATGATTTTGAAGTGTGCGTTGTTAAAGAACAATTTTTTTACGCAAACTCATAGCCTCGCACAAGGAAAACCCCGTATCGTGGGTGCCACGGACACACACAAAGACAACCATAAACTACACCCAAACTCAGGAGATAAATAAATGTAAGCCATACAAATATTTCTCCCAGCCCGAGAATCAAACCCGGGACCTCTGCGTGACTGATCAACATGGTAACCGTTCGGCTACGGAAGCAGTAATATACCTACATAAACTGAGTTCTGTGATTTCTGGGTGCTGAATAAGATTTCCAAAGACTTGGGAACTGGGAAATTATTGTGGTCGTAGTGACCACAATAATACATATCATCATAATACACCGTCGACTTTTTTATAAAAAAAAATAACCAACCTCAATAGTTTCCATTTAGAATCCATTTATTACATAACACCACAACACAATAATAAACAGTAAAAAAAAAAGTAAAAAAGAAACAGAACTAAATTAAAACTAAAACAAACTAAATTAAAACAAACAGAAAATAGAATAACAAAAAAGAAAATTAATTAAAAATAAAATCTTAGCAATAAATAATTATGCGACCACAAAGCTAGTCAACACTATTGTTGTACTAAGTATCTACTTACCCGCACACATGACATCTGTCATGCGGCTGTGGCGTATGTAATAGGATCCACTCAGCTAATGTCACCGCCGGGAAGAGGCTGTGACGCTGATTTTCAGTGGACCCTAATAGTAAATAGTAATAGTACTTCGTGGAATTACTTATATTTGTCAAGTTTTATTGATATCTGGTAACAGAATGTGGGTGAAATTCAATAAACCGGATTTATCCACTGAAGGGTGCCAACCCTTAGAAGTGAAATATTTTCTTAAAATAATACAAAAAATTCAATTATTAAAATTTGACCACTACTGAGGCACCTTCTTTCCAACAAAAAGTGAATCATCGAAATCAATTCACAAATGTCGGAATCATCTCGTAACACACACAAAAAACAATAAAAATGCCGTATTGAGAATGTCCTCCTTCTTTTGTCTGTTAAAAATGTGAATGTACTTACGTTGTCTCATTCAGGTTTCCAATCGGGTTCTTATCAAAGTTCAAATAAACCAAGTTGACAGCTTCCTTGAGCACACTTGGTACTTCAGCAAGCCTGTTGTCGCTGAGATCAAGATATTCTAGACGTCTGTGTCGGCGGAACATCCCTTCGGGAAGAGATTGTAGTTTACAGCCACTTACCTTGAGCTCCTATAGGAACAAAATGTTTCTTATTGATATACATTACAGAGCGTTAAGAATAATGTTCCAGACAACCACACTAATTACATCAAACTGGTCTCAGACTAGACCCTACGTGGGCCTCCGAGCGGAACACACTGGTTGCCCGGATCGGACGAGATCTCTCTGCAGGCATAGTAGCGGCTTTGCTGGCGGATCAAGAGTCCCATGAGACAGTGGTCTCCTTTTGCGAAGCGGTGAAGCTCCAGAAGGAGATCGCCGTGCGTGATCGAGTGAGACTAGAGCTAACGTGGAAGGCAATAAAGAAAAGGACTACTAACTAAACTAACCCAACGATCCTGCTAGCTATGTAAAATATGTTGCCCTTCTGCCGCCCTTCACTACTTACTACGTCTTTTCTTATCTTAGCTTTGCGTGCAACTACGTGAACTTAGCTAAGTTAGCTTCGTTTGCGGTGTGGCCTGCGCTTTCAGATATAGCTAGAACTTTGTCTGTCTTTGCCTACCTCAATAGGAATCCAATAACATAACTACGTAAGTAAGTAAGACTCTTCGACTGAACATATTTGTGCCAAAAACCACATACCTTCAAAACCGTTAACTCAGAAATAGCAGCCATCGTAACCTGGTCTATGACTACCAGAGGATTTCCACTGAGATCTAAACTGGTTA